CCTGGGAGGCAGAGGTTGCAGTGAGCTGAGATTGTGCCACTGCACTCTAGCCTGGGCAACAGAGCAAGACTCTGTCTCAAAAAAAAAAAAAAAGGGGGGGGGCTGGGCACAGTGGCTTACGCCTGCAATCCTAGCATTTTAGGAGGCTGACGCAATTGCATCACTTGAACCCAAAAGTTTGAGACCAGCCTGGGCAACGTGGCGAAACTCCGTCCCTACAAAAAAGTTTAAAAATTAGCCAGGCATGGTGGTGCATGCGTGTAGTCCCAGCTACTCAGGAGGCTGAGTGGGAGGATCACCTGAGTTTGGGGAGGTTGAGGCTGCAGTGAGGGGTGATGGTTCACTGCACTACAGCATGGGTGACACAGTGAGACCCTGTCTCAAAAATAAGTAAAATAATTTAAAAATATATTTAGTATTGTCAATAGTATTGTCAGTAGTTCCCAATTTAGCATCGGGAAAAGAAATGCTAAGTAAAATAGCTTTGTGGGCCCATGGTGGCTCACGCCTGTAATCCCAGCACTCTGGGAGGCTAAGGTGGGCGGATCAGAGGTCAGGAGTTCGAGACCAGCCTGACTAACATGGCAAAACCCCGTCTCTCCTAAAAATACAAAATTTAGCCACACGTGGTGGCATACCCCTGTAATCCCAGCTACTCAGGAGGCTGAGGCAGGAGAATCACTTGAACCCAGGAAGCGGAGGTTGCAGTAAGCCGAGATCACGCCACTTCACTCCAGCCTGGGTAATAGAGCAAGACTGTCTCCAAAAATTATTTTATGTATTTATTTGTTTTGAGACTGAGTCTCGCCCTATTGCCCAGGCTAGAGTGCAGTGGTGTGATCTCAGTTTACTGTAACCTCTGCCTCCTGGGTGCAAGCATTACTTGCACAATGCCAACAAATGCCAACAAATAAGGTAAATTAATTTCAGTGACTTCTAATTGCTGAAGAGAAATTAAAATATAATCATGGTGAAATAACTTTTTCTTTTTGACAGGATCTTGCTATACTGCCCAGGCTGGCTTCAGACTGCTGGGCTCAAGAGATCCATCAGCCTCAGCCACCTGAGTAGCTGAGATTACAGGTATGCACCACCACACCTGGCTCTGAAAGAATTTTTCTTTTTTTTTTTTTTGAGATGCAGTCTCGCTCTTTCACCCAGGCTGGAGTGCAGTGGCGCGATCTCAGCTCACTGCAAGCTCTGCCTCCCGGGTTCACGCCATTCTCCTGCCTCAGCCTCCCCAGTAGATGGGACTACAGGCGCCCAGCACCTCGCCCGGCTAGTTTTTTTTTTGTATATTTTAGTAGAGATGGGGTTTCACTGTGTTAGCCAGGATGGTCTCGATCTCCTGACCTCGTGATCCGCCCGTCTCGGCCTCCCAAAGTGCTGGGATTACAGGCTTGAGCCACCGCACCCGGCCAAGAATTTTCTAAAGAGATGATATTTGAGTTGGGCTCTGAATAATTCAGCTAAGCAAAGATCTGGGCAGTTTTCCAAGAGAAAAAAACAATAGTAACAAGCACAAAGGCCCTGAAACGGAAATAGACTTGGCATTTTCAAGTGACTGAAGATCAAATGACAGGTACAAGATGAGATCAGAAGTAAGGTGTAGGATCTTGGAAGCCAAATAAAGATTTTGGATTTATTCTGAGTATAAAATATAGCCATTGGTACAGGGAGTGGCAGTTATATTATCTGATTTATGATTTTATCTTACTCTGGCTGCTATGTAGAAAGATGCATTGTATCAAGAAGAGAGGCAGAAAACTAGTAAACCATTGGAGTTCAGATAAGAGATGTTAGTGGCTTTGACTAAGGTTGTGGCAGTACAAATCATAAGAAGAGATCAGATCTGGGATATATTTTGGAGGTACAGCCAATACGTCACTGTGACGGCCTGGCTATGAAGGGGAAGGAAAAGAGAAAACAAAAGTGACATCTGGTTTGGGAGCAGAGCAACTAATGATACAAATTGAGATAGAAAAGGTTTATAGTAAGGGAATGAGGGGTGGGAAAGAGCAGATTGGGAGTAAATATTAGTTGGATATAGATTCACTGGCTGGAATAAAGAGATCCAGTGGTTTAAACCAGATTAAAAGTTCTCTTTCACGTAACAAAAATATAAGCAGTCTAAAGCTAAAATGTATGCTTCAGGTATTCAGAACCTACACTCTTTCTATTATTGCTCCCCCAACCCTAGAGCAGTGCTTCTCAAACTGGTTGTGCATGGTCCACCCAATGCTGCACTTCTTTGCATGGTCAAAGATAGTTCACCACCACATCCATTGGGTTAATGTTCCAGCTAGAGGAGGATGAGGAGGGGAGGGAGATATGGAGGGTCGGCCTCATTATTTAAATGTTTTGTCATAGAAACAATGTGTTTGTCATAGAAGCTGTACATATCCCTTCCATTTCTTATCCCCTTAGCCAGAAGTTAGTCACAAGACAATACCCAAAGGAGGCTGCACAATGTAGTCTTCATTTGGGACAATATCTTCGCAGCAAAATTTGGGGATTCTTTTACTAGAGAAAGAACATATATGGTTCATGGGGTCAGCTGAAAGTCACTGCCACAGATGAAACTCAGTAATTCAGCTTTTGGCTGTGATGATTTTGAGATGCCTGCTAGGCAGCCAAGTGGAGATCTTTAGTAGAGAGTTGGATAGAAATGTGTGGAGCTAAGGTTTCATCATAAAAGGAAATATAAATTAAGAGCCAATCAGTGCCAGGCATGGTGTCTCATGCCTGTAATCCCAACACTTTGGGAGGCCACAGCAAGCAGACGGCTTGAGTCCAACAGTTCGAGACCAGACTGGCCAACATGGAGAAACCTCGTCTCTACTAAATGCAAAAATTAGCCGGGATGCCTGTAATCCCAGCTACTCAGTGGCTGAGGCACGAGAATTGCTTGAACCTGGGAGACAGAGGTTGCAATAAGCTGAAATGGCGCCACTGCACTCTAGCCTGGGAGACAGAACAAGACCCTGTCTCAGAAAAAAAAAAAAAAAAAAGGCCAACCAAATGTAGATGGTATTTGAATCTTTGGGACTAGGTAAAATCACTTAGGGAGAGAGTGAAGATACAGAAAAGAAGTCACAGGACTAGGACTTAGGGTGATGCAATACTTAGAGCTCTGGTAGAGGAAGAGGAGCCAACAAAGTAGACTGAGAAGCAGCAGCCAGTGAAAGAAGAAAATGTCTTCGAAGCCCAGAAAAGAAAGCAAATCTCCGAGAGCCGGGGTTCAACATCAAATGCTGCTAAGTCAAATCGTGGGGATGGAAAATTGAACATTTTGGCAGAAATTATTAGTGGGTGAACTTAATAAAATGTGTTGGTGGAGTGATGGGCATGAAAATCCACCAGAATAGTTAATGAAAGAAATCAGGATAAGGAAGGAAAGAAAGTACAAGTAATTGGAAGTTTTACAATCAAAAGGAGCAGAGAAATGGAGGTAGTCTCTTGAGTGAGATATGGGTCTAGGGTGAGGGAACAGCTTTTTATTGTTGTTGTTTGAGACAAGGTCTTGCTCTGTCACCCAGGCTAGAGTGCAGTGGTGGCATCATAGCTCATTGCAGCCTCAAACTCCTTGGTTCAAGTGAACCTCCTGCCTCAGCCTCCCAACTAGCTGGGATCACAGGTGCACACCACCATGCCAAACTAATTTTTTTTTTTTTTTTTTGTAGATATGGAGGTCTCAGTATGTTACCCAGGCTAGTCTGGAACTCCGAGGCTCAAGTGATCCTTCCAACTCAACCTCCCAAATTATTGAGATTAAAGGCAATCTCTGAATATTCTCTTCATCAAAACCTGGCATCTCCTATCAGCACTGATGCTCCCGCTGCCCTCTCATAGGGGAGCTATATTTTTTTCCCCAAATGCTATACAAAGAATGTAGAGGTAGCATAAGCATTATCTGTTACTTATTTTGGCTGCCAGGCTGCTATTCTTCTGTCTTCCCTAAAACTCTCCAACTTGTTTGGAGCTCATGCTGGCAGAGTATTCCACATGATATCCTATCTTTCAGTGGTCCACTGTGTATACCTCTGTATCAGTCTTCCTTACTCCTTGAAGATTTTAGCACTGAACTCTGCCTCTCTTTTCAATAATCTTCCTGTTGTGACTCTTGGTGATATCAATATCTAAGTAGGTAATACTTCCAATACTCGGTCCCCTGACCTATCCTCCAATAATCTTGTTTTCCATACAACTGCAGCATCCACTCCCACTGGCTTACCTTAGGCCCATAATTTCTTTTTTGCTTGTATACTTTTTTTTTTTTTTTAAATATAGAGACAGGGGTCTCACTGTGTTTCCCAAGCTGGTCTCGGACTCCTGGCCTAAAGCAATCCTTCCGCCTTGGCCTCCCAAAGTGCTGGGATTACAGGTGTGAGCCACTGCAAGTGGTCTTGCTTGTATACCTCTACCAGAATTTTTAAAAACTACAAACTGCCTCACACAATTCTTTACCTTTCTAGCAGTGCAATGCAAAGCAATCTTGATGCTGTCCATGAACAAGTATTCATATATGTCCCTCCCACTCTAATCACTTGCTCAACTAATCAAACCATTGGTGCCATTTAATTCTGCTTTATCTCTATTTGGCAAAAACAAACATCAGACAAGGGAAACTAAGCTCTGATTTGTACCTTTTCACCTAAACTAACTTGGCTCTATCTGTAAACAAATCTTTGGGTAAAGCCACTAGTGACAGCAATGTCACAATGCAGAAACAGCAAGATATTTTATAAGACTTGCAAACAAAACTAGAGAGCTCAAAGCATAAAGATAACTACAATCCCAGCTGCTATCCAGAGTGTCTAAATCAGTGTGATTAAACAGCTTGGAAATTTGGGAAAATGGGTCTGAGTTCTGCCAAAGCTTCTCACATTTTAAGTTGGCATTTAATATGTTTCCAGGTGTAGGTTTAATATCCTTGACAAAAATAGAAAATATTAAAGATTGCATAAGATGAAGTGGGAAAAATGGTTCATTATAAGGTCTGATATACCAAAGTTGAACTGCTTTATTGAATAAATCTTGTAAATTTTATAAGTTCCTTTTAAAAGAATCAAATTCGCTGATTTACATGGCATCTTCTGTTGGAATTCAGAACTTCTCAATAGGCCAAAATGTCCTGATTCTAACTCTAAACTTCAGCCTTAACAAAAATACATATTAAATGGGTGGCAAGACAGATTTGAGGATTCTTGATTCATCATTATAGGGGACTTACCCAAAACTCAAATGTAGTTTATCTCTTTGTTCGGCACTCAGGAGAATTTTACCCTTGGTAATGGATCACTGTATGAGTCAATTTTCATGCTGCTGATAAAGACATACCTGGGCAATTTACAAAAGAAAGAGGTTTATTGTCCGGTGTGGTGGCTCACGCCTATAATCCCAACACTTTGGGAGGCTGAGGTGGATGGATCACGAGGTCAGGAGATTAAGACCATCCTGGTTAACATGGTGAAACCCCATCTCTACTAAAAAACCAAAAAAACAAAAAAAATAGCCAGGTGTGGTGACAGGTGCCTATAGTCCCAGCTATGCGGGAGGCTGAGGCAGGAGAATGGCGTGAACCTGGGAGGCAGAGGTTGCAGTGAGCCGAGATCATGCCATTGCACTCCAGCCTGGGCAACAGAGCGAGACTCTGTCTCAAAAAAAAAAAAAGAAAAGAAAGAGGTTTATTGGACTTAACAGTTCCACGTGGCTGGGGAGGCCTCACAATCCTGGTGGAAGGTGAAAAGCATCTCTCACATGGCGACAGACAAGAGAAGAGAGAAGTAACTCCCATTTTTAAAACCGTCGGATCTTGTAAGACTTATCCACTAACATGAGAACAGCACGGGAAAGACCCATCCCCCATGATTCTTTTTTTTTTTGAGACTAAGTTTCACTTTGACGCCGAGGCTGGAGTGCAGTGGTGTGATCTGGGCTCACTGCAACCTCCGCCTCCAGGTTCGAGTGATTCTCATGCCTCAGCCTCCCAAGTAGCTGGGATTACAGGTGCCCGCCACCGCGCCTGGCTTGTTTTTGTATTTTTAATATAGATGGGGTTTCACCACATTGGCCAGGCTGGTCTCAACTGCTGATCGCAAGAGATCTCCTGCCCTGGCCTCCCAATGTGCTGGGATTACAGGCATGAGCAACTGCGTCCAGCCCACATGATTCAATTACCAGGTCCCTCCCAGGACACATGGGTTATGGGAGCTATAAGACTTGGGCGGGGACACAGAGCCAAACAATATCATTCCACCCCAACCCCTCCCAAATCTCATGTCTTCACATTTCAAAAGCAATCATGCCTTCCCAATAGTCCTCCGAAGTCTTAACTCATTTCGGCATTAACTCAAAAGTCCACAGTCCAAAGTCTCATCTGAGACAAGACAAATCCCTTCTGCCTATGAGCCTGTAAAATCAAAAGCAAGTTATTTACTTCCTAGATACAATGGTGGTATAAGCATTGGGTAAATACAGCCATTCCAAATGGGAGAAATTGGCCAAAACAAAGGGACTACAGGACTCATGCAAATCTGAAATCCAGCAGGGCAGTCAAATCTTAAAGCTTCAAAATGATCTCCTTTGACTCCATGTCTCACATCCAGGTCACACTGATGCAAGAGGTGGATTCCCATGGTCTTGGGCAGGGTAAAGCCTCCCTCTGGGCTGCTTTCACAGGCTGGCATTGAGTGTCTGCAGCTTTTCCAGGCACACGGTGCAAGCTGTTGGTGGATCTACCATTCTGTGGTCTGGAGGACGGTGGTGCTCTTCTCACAGCTCCACCAGGCAGTGCCCCAGTGGTGACTTTGTGTGGGGGCTCTGACCCCACATTTCCCTTCTGGCACTGCTCTAGCAGAGGTTCTCCATGAAGGCCCCACCCCTACAGCAAACTTCTGCCTGTGAATCCAGGAATTTCCGTGTATCTTCTGAAATCTAGGTGGAGGCTCCCAAACCCCAATTCTTGACTTCTATGTACTCGCAGGCTCAATACCACATGGAAGATGCCAAGGTTTGGGGCTTCCACCCCCTGACGCAACAGCCCAAGCTCTATGTTGGCCCCTTTCAGTCACTGCTGGAGCAGGTGAGATGCAGGGCACCAAGTCCCTAGGCTGCACACAGCATGGGGACCCTGGGCCTGGCCCATAAAACCACTTTTTCCTCCTAGGCCTCTGGACCTGCGATGGGAGGGGCTGCCATGAAGACCTCTGACGTGTCCGGGAGGTATTTTCCCCATTGTCTTGGGTATTAGCATTCGGCTCCTTGGTACTTACGCAAATTTTTGCAGCCAGCTTGAATTTCCTCTCGGAAAATGGGATGTTCTTTTCTATCGCATTGTCAAGCTGCAAATTTCTCAAACTTTTATGCTCTGTTTCCCTTATAAAACTGGTAAAACTGAATGCCTTTTTTTTTTGAGATGGAGTCTCAATCTGTTGCCCAGGTTGCAGTCAGTGGCATGATCTCGGCTCACTGGAACCTCCACCTCCTGGGTTCAGGCGATTCTCCTGCCTCAGCCTCCCAAGCAGCTGGGACTACAGGCGCACACCACCATGCCTAGCTAATTTTTGTATTTCTAGTAGACACAGGGTTTCACCATATTGGCCAGGCTGTTCTCGAACTCCTGACCTCTTGATCCACCCTCCTCAGCCTCCCAAAGTGCTGGGATTACAGGTGTGAGCCACCGCACCCGGTCAAAACAGAAAGCCTTTAACAACACCCAAGTCACCTCTTGAATGCTTTGCTGCTTAGAAATGTCTTCCACTGGCCAACATAGCAAAACCCTGTCTCTACTAAAAATACCAAAAATTAGTCAGGCATGGTGGCGGATGCCTGTAATCCCAGCTACTCGGGAGGCTGAGGCAGGAGAATTGCTTGAACCCAGTGAGCCGAGATCCCACCACTGCACTCCACCCCAGGCAACAGTGCGAGACTCCATCTCAAAAAAAAAAAAAAAAGAAAAAAGAAATGTCTTCCACCAGATACCCTAAATCATCTCCCTCAGGTTCAAAGTCCCACAAATTTCTAGGGCAGGGGCAAAACATCACCAGTCTCTTTGCTAAAACATAACAAGAGTCACCTTTGCTCCAGTTCCCAACAAGTTCCTCATCTCCATCTGAAACCACCTCAGACTGGATCTTATGTTCATATCACTATCAGCATTTTTGTCAAAGCCATTCAACAAGTCTCTTGGAAGTTCCAAACTTTTCCACATTTTCCTGTCTTCTTCTAAGCCCTCCAAACTGTTCCAATGTTTGCCTGCTACCCAGTTCTGAAGTCACTTTCACATTTTCAGGTATCTTTTCAGCAACACCCTACTCTACTGGTACCAATTTACTGTATTAGTCCATTTCCATGCTGCTGATAGACATACCCAAGACTGGGCAATTTACAAAAGAAAGAGGTTTATTTGGACTTACAGTTCCACATGGCTGGGGAAGACTCACAATCATAGTGAGGGCAAGGAAAAGCAAGTCACATCTTACATGGATGGCAGCAGGCAAAGAGACAGAGCTTGTGCAGAGGAACTCCTTTTTTTTTTTTTTTTTTTTTTTTTTGAGACACAGTCTTTCTCTGTTGCCCAGGCTGAAGTGCAGTGGTGCAATCTTTGCTCACTGCAACCTCCTTCTCCCAGGTTCAAGCAATTCGCTCTGCCTCAGCCTCCCTAGTAGTTCATATTACAGGTGCCCACCACCATGCCCAGCCAGAACTCTTTTTAAAACCATCAGATCTCATGAGACTTATTCACTATCACAGTAACAGCACAGGAAAGTCTTGCCCCCATGATTCAATTACCTTCCACTGGGTTTCAAGATGAGATGTGGGTGGGGACACAGCCAAACCATATCACAGCTACTCTGAAAGCTGAGCTGGAGGGTCACTTCGGCCTGGGAGGTTGAGGTTGCAGTGAGCCGTGTTCATGCCAATGCATTCCAAACTAGGTGACAAAGTGAGACCCTGAGAAAGAAAGAAAGAGAAAGAAAAGAGAGAAAGAGAGAGAGAGAAAGAGAGAAAGGAAAGACAGACAGAAAGACAGAAAGAGAAAGAGAGAGAGAAAGAAAGAAAGAAAGAAAGAAAGAAAGAAAGAAAGAAAGAAAGAAAGAAAGAAAGAAAGAAAGAAAGAGAAGGAGGAGAGGGGAGGAGAGGAGAGGAGAGGAGAGGAGAGGAGAGGGGAGGAGAGGGGAAGGGAGGGGAGGGGAGGGAAAGGCTTACATTTTACCCAAACAAAACCTTATTATGATTGATATGGTTTGGCTCTGTGTCCCCACCCAAATCTCATCTTGTAGGTTCCATAATTCCTACAGGTTGTGGGAGGGACGATAACTGAATCATGGGGACAGGTCTTTCCTGTGCTGTTCTTGTGATAGTGAATAGATGGTTTTAAAAATGGGAGTTTCCCTGCACAAGTTCTCTCTTCTCTTGTCTGCCACCATGTGAGACATGCCTTTCATCTTCCTCCATGATTGTGAGGCTTCCCCAGCCATGTGGAACTGTAAGTCCAATAAAACTCTTTCTTTTGTAAATTTCCTACTCTTGAGTATGTCTTTATTAGCAGCATGAAAAAGAACTAACACAGTAAATTGGTACCAGTAGAGTGGGGCACTGCTAAAAAGATATCCAAAAATATGGAAGCAACTTTGGAACTGGATTAATAGCCAGATGTTGCAACAGTTTGCAGGGCTCAGAAGAAGACAGGGAAATGTAGGAAAGTTTGGAACTCCCTAGAGGCTTGTTGAATGGCTTTGACAAAAATGTTGATAATTATATGGACAATGAAATCCAGTCAGGTGGTCTCAGATGGAGATGAGGAACTTGTTGGGAACTGGAGCAAAGGTGACTCTTGTTATGTTTTAGCAAAGAGACTGGTAGCATTTTGCCCCTGCCCTAGAGATTTGTGAAACTTTGAACTTGAGAGAGATGGTTTAGGGTATCTGATGGAAGAAATTTCTAAGCAGCAAAGCATTCAAGAGGTGACTTGGGTGCTGTTAAAGGCATTCAGTTTTTAAGGGAAACAAAACATGAAAGTTTGGAAAATTTGCAGCCTGACAACATGACATAAAAGAAAATCCCATTTTCTGAGGAGAAATTCAAGCTGGCTGTAGAAATTTGCATAAGTGAAAGGATCTGAATGTTAATCACCAAGACAGTGGGGAAAATGGGCATGTCAGAGATCTTCGTGGCAGCTCCTCCCATCACAGGCCTGGAGGTTTAGGAAGAAAAAAATGGTTTTGTGGGCTGGGCCCAGGGTCCCTCTGCTATGTGCAGTCTAGGGACTTGGTGCCTTGTGTCCTAGCTGCTCCAGCTGTAACTAAAAGGGGCTGAGGTATAGCTTGGGCTGTTGCTTCAGAGGGTGGAAGCCCCAAGCGTTGTCAGCTTCCACTTGGTGTTGAGCCTGTAGGTGCACAGTAGTCAATAATTCAAGTTTGTGAGTCTCTACCTAATTGATATAAAAAGCAGATAAACAGACCAGGCATGGTGGCTCATGCCTGTGATCCCAACATTTTGGGAGGACGAGGCTGGTGGATCACCTGAAGTCAGGAGTTTGAGACCAGTCTGGCCAACATGGCAAAAACCCCGTCTCTACTAAAAACACAAAAATTAGCATGATGTGGTGGTGCACACTTGTAGTCCCAGCTATCTGGGAGGCCTAGGCAGGAGAATCTTTTGAACCTGGGAGATGGAGGTTGCAGTGAGCTGAGATTGCACCATTGCATTCCAGCCTGGGTGACAGAGCAAGACTGTCTCAAGGAAAAAAACAACAACAACAAAAACAAAACAAAAAAAACCCAGATAAACAGAGAAAAGTTGAACTGCCATTAGAGGAAGATGGGGAGATGTGGGGACCCAGAGCCTTGTCTTTAACTTCCTACTCCTTTTTTTTTTTTTTAATTCTCTATCCTCACAGATTTCTTACACACTACCAGAGGATTTAGGGTTCCATGAAACATGATTTGAAAATAACTAGCCTACCTTGGCAGTTCTCAAAGTTTGTGGTATCAAGACCCCTTGGCATGTTTAAAAATTGAAGAGTCAAACAAATTTTTTTCATGTGGATTGTAACTATTGGTATTTACCATATTAAATATGAAAACTGATTATATATAAAAGATTAATTCCTTAAAATTGACAATAAGCCCATTACGTGTTAACATAAATAGCATATTTAAATGAAAAATTACTATATTTTAAAAACAAAAAATAAGATTGGCATTGTTTTACATTTTTGTAATCTCTAATATCTGACTTAAAAAACAGCTTAATTCTATCTGCTTTGATAGCACATTATAGTCTCCACAAAACTTTATTGCACACTTGTGAGAGAAAAAGAGTTAAAAAAGCAAGCAACACATGAAAACGTTTTGACCTCATGGATCCCAGAAAGAACTACGGAGATTGTCTACAGTCCCCAGCTCACTTTTGGAGAACCGCTGTCCTAAATCCAAAGGTCCATTCTAGCTGGCACTGATAATTGATTTAATTTCTGAAATCCTATTAACCATTTTGAAGAGTCTGATTCTACCAAAATACTAAAAAAAAAAAAAAAAAAAAGTGAGGTGAATACTAAATAGAAAAATTTTGAATTCAAAATGAAGGGACTAATCATAGATAAGTGGTTTTTATTACAAAGCAAATTGTATTAGGTAACTTAAATCTACATATGTCCCAAGTTCAAAAAGATGCCCTACTATAGCACTTATGTACTGCAATTACTTTATATATCTCTTCCACTCAACCTGTCAGCTTTGCAAGAAGGCAATAAGTCTTTCTTGTCTGGTTATTTTTTTGAGACGGAGTCTCGTTCTGTTCCCCAGGCTGGAAGGCAGTGGTGCGATCTCGGCTCACTGCAACCTCCGGCCCCCGAGTTCAAGCAATTCTCATGCCTTAGCCTCCTGAGTAGGTGGGATTACAGGTGCCCACCACCTTGCCCGGCTAACTTTTTGTATTTTTAGTAGAGGCGGGGGGGCGGGGGGGTTTCACCATGTTGGCCAGGCTGGTCTGGAACTCCTGACCTCAGGTGATTCACCTGCTATGGCCTCCCAAAGTGCTGGGATTACAGGCGTAAACCACCGTGCCCGGCCAAAGGAATTGAGTCTTAATCCCTTTTGTATCTTCAGCCTTTAGGATAACGTCTGACACACAACAGGCATTAAATATTTGTTGGATGAATGAACTGAACTGCATAGAATGTAGAAAGCCTACATATTACTGGCCAAGCACCGTGGCTCACACCTGTAATCCCAGCACTTTGGGAGGCCGAGGCGGGCGAATCACCTGAGGTCAGGAGTTTGAGACCAGCCTGGTCAACATGGCAAAACCCCATCTCTATTAAAAATACAAAAATTAGCCGGGCATGGTTGTGGGAGCCTGTCGTCCCAGCTACTCGGAAGGCTGAGGCAGGAGAATCGCTTGAATCCGGGAGGAGGAGGTTGCGGTGAGCGGAGATCTCGCCACTGCACTCCAGCCTGGGCTTCGAGAGGGAGACTCCGTCTCAAACAACAAGCCAGCCTACATATCCTGCTACATGTGCTACAATCCACAGCAAACTATTTCATCCACATTCAACGACTTTCTTGAAGTCGCCATCATGATCCTATCAAGAAAACCGTGACTTATATGGTATTTTAATGTGCCTTTATAAATTACTAATCATTTTCTTCATGATGTATGTTAAAATGGCTTACGTCACCTGATGTAATCCTTAATGAGGGAAATAAAAGGCCATGACTATGCCTGGCTTTTTTTTCTTATATCTTAGATTTGAGGTTTAGTTAAAAAGACCTCGAAGTGGCGAAAGAAAGGAACAGAAATGCCCTCCACATTAAAAATGAGCAGGCTCCATAGGTTAATTGTACTCTTCCTCACGCACGGCACTTACATGTTGCATACTCTCTGCTCCACAGCATGCACAGACATCCCAAATCCCGGACTGGGCCTGAGGAACATCTCTGCAAAGAGCAACGGGAGCGCGTGGGGGTCCCGCCTCTCCCGCCAGGGACCAGGGAGTGGACACTCACTGGTCCAGTCATGAGGAACTCAGCATCCTCCTGACGGGAGGCGCCTCTTTCCCAGAAGCGATGGGTCTGGAGGAATCTGACTAAACCTTGGGTTGCCGGCCCGGAAGGCGTGGTTGACCCAGGGGCCTCGAGGTTGTGGGCGAGGATAATCCGCCACCGGGACCGACCTGCAGAGTCCAGGGGACCGAAACCCGAGGGCTGCGCTCCAGGGTGCTGAGGCGACCGGAAAGGCGGCCAGGATCTTCCGGTCGCCCGGCCCACCACCCACCCAGTACCCGCGCAGCCCTGAAGCCTGGCAGACGCGGACCGCACGCGGCCTTTGCTTCGGCCAGGACAGGGCGGCGGGGAGACGGCTGCTAGACAACAAGTCTTGACCCCTCCGCTACCCACGACCTCCGGGTAGGCGAGCAAAGGGCCTACACCTCCGATTGCCCCAGTCCCCTGGTCCAGCGGACACGCCACGCACGCAGTCCCGCCCAGCGCCGCTCGCGGTAGGGGCGGAGCGGCTGAGCTGGCCCAAGCGGATTTGCCTAGCTCGGTCAGGGGCGGGGCAGGCCCTCCCCGCCAGGACCAGCCCCCGTCTCCCCGCCCCTGGGCCCTGTAGGAAATAGGGACCCGGCCCTGGGCCTTGTGTAGTGGGAGGGGGAGCTAGAAAGCGGCTGAGGGCAGAGTCCAGGAGGGCCTGGCTGCGGGGGAATGAAGCCTCCGCCTTCTCAGGCAGAAGCCTTTAAATACGGGCTGAGGCCCGGGACTCAGGAGTGTAGCGCGTGGCAGCCTGAGGGAGGGGCGTTCGCCGAGAGGGAGCTCAGACGGAGCTGGGCGCGGGTGGAGAAGCTGCGGCAGCGCGGCCCATAGGAAGGTGCTGTCCGGACGATCGGGATAAGAGCGGTCCCTGCGCTTGCTGCTGGGAAGTGGGTAAGCGCCGCTCCCAGGCTGGCCCCGCCGCCCGTGCGGGATGATCCAGGTCTGGGCGGGATGTGGAGGGAGCGGGGCTGGGGTGTGCGCTGCTCCCGGTTGCTCGCTGCGCTGGGTCCCGGGCTTCCCGACTCACGACCTTTGTCTCTTTGGGCTTTAGGGCGGGAACCGCATTTTGGAACTGCTGTCCTAGGGATGGGGTAGCCTGGGCTTCTTATTCAAGACTCGCGAGTCTTCCAGCCCCTTCTCTTTCTGCTTTTACCCACTTTCCTGACTTGGATGAGATTTCCCTGCCGCCTCCAAAGCCGAACGCCCACCACAGGAAGCGGTTCTCTCGTTGGGGACCACATTTTGGCCGCAGAATCGTAGTCTTTTGTTTGTGTTTAAGAGTCTGCTCACCTGAGGGGCTCCTGCTTTTCTCTTGCCGCCTCTCTTAAGAAACCAAATAGAAACGAAGCCAGAAAGCCCTCTTGAAAGCAAAATCCTGAGACTATCGTGATATGTATCTGGGATGTCCTGGAATCCATTGTTGGACCCCCACACCATAGAATTACTCTGTTTGATGTCGGGGAAGGCCTTTCCTGGGTGTCTCGGGAGACCATGTTTGTGTGAGATCTTGAAAAATTATACGTCCTATAAATATACAGGAAGATAACTTAGTAGGGTTATGAATTCTAGTATGGAGAAAAGAGGGGTTCGCTGGTAGGGATCTATTCATGGGCATACAGAGCAGTAGTTGTCTATCGACAGTCCTCAAAGACACAGTGAACCCTTGATTTTCTTCAAATCCCCTAAGAAATGGAGAACAGTAGTCTTTCTTCAGGGGGATTCTGGAAATCAAAGAGCTGACTGTCTGCTCTGAGATGTGCTTGTTAGTGGCCAGGATCCAGTTTAAGGTAAGGGATAGACAACCCTGGTTGAAAAGATCTCATTTCTTCTCCCATTGCTGTACTCGTTTTTCTAACAAAATCTATTAACTGGATAAGCATAATCCATCTTCCTTCTTGTTTACTTCCACAGCTTTACATGATAACCCTTAGACATAAAATTAATACCGGCTTTCTTACTGATTAAATATTTTTCTCTGTTCAGGCATCTTTTACTGTTTAATTTCTGGAAATGATTAAAATGTTTGAAGCTGATGTATCCAACTATAATGCCTATCGTTAGCTCCTGGGTACCTATGCAAAGTATGCTGTGGAGAGCTGGGGCTAGAAGGATTATTTTCTGTTTAGATTGTAGTAGGGCATTTGTTATTTGTTAGTGACCCCTTCTGGGTTGAAATGTTTATTTGAATTTATGAAATTTTACATGAAGAGTAGTTTTGGAATGGTTTGGTTTGTTGTGACTCTCCCAAAATACAGAGGTAAAAACTCATTTCAAAATAACCCATTTAATAAGGAGACACTCTCATGTCTCTGACAGCAGAATAAGAGTGCCAGAGGGTACATAAAAGTAGAAATAGAAAATGGGGCTGGGCGCAGTGGCTTACACCTCTAATCCCAGCACTTTGGGAGGCTGAGGTGGGTGGATCACCTGAGATCAGGAGTTCGAGACCAGCCTGGCCAATATGGTGAAACCCCATTTCTACGAAAAATATAAAAACTAGCCAGGCATGGTGGTCCAGGGTGCCTGTAATCCCAGCTACTTAGGAGACTAAGGCAGGAGAATTGCTTGAACCCAAGAGATGGAGGTTGCAGTGAGCCAACACGGTGCCACTGCACTCCAGCCTTGTGACAGAGTGAGACTCCGTCTCAAAAAAAAAAAAGAGAAAATGGAATTGGAAGACATCTGTGTCATGCGAGATGTGTCACTAACACTATGTCAAACTCCATGTTAAAGCTTATTGAAGATTTTATTGAAACTTCCAAGTGACCATTTATTTGGACTTGCACAGATCATACATCAGCCTCTTCATTGATTTTCCCATTGTCATCTATAAGCCGTATTTCATGGGAAATAGCAAGGTGAGAATACCCCAAATAAAGCTTGTGTAAAACATATCCAGTTCTATGATACAGGTTCACCGGCCATCAGTAGTCTAACCCAACTGATGTATGTAAAGCAAGTTGAAATGTGGTCTCACAATCAAGGCAGATAAGAAGTAACTCCGGGGAAACATGCTGAAGTTCTTTAGGTAACTCAGGAAAAGAACTTGGCCAGGTGCGATGGCTCATGCCTGTAATCCCAGTACTTTGGGAGGCTGAGGCAGGTGGATCAGCTGAGGTCAGGAGCTTGAGACCAGCCTGGACAACATGGTGAAACCCCGTCTCTACCAAAAAATACAAAAATTAGCTGGGCATAGTGGCGGACATCTGTAGTCCCAGTTACTTGGGAGGCTAGGTGGGAGAATCGATTGAACCTGGGAGGCGGAGGCTGCAGTGAGCCCAGCTTGTGCCATTGCACTCCAGCCTGGGCAACAGAGTGAGACCTTGTGTCAAAAAAAAAAAAAAAAAAAAGAACCTGATAGTATTCTGGTCAATTACTGCAAAAATACTATGATCGGCAATCTGAACTAAAGCTGTTTACACAGAAGTCTTCATCTCAAAAAGAGAGGCCTGTGTGGAGAGTTACTCATTCATTCAATTAATAATCATTGAGAGGCTGCTATTCTAGGAGTCAAGGATACAGCAGGGAGCGGCAGCAATCACTGTTAGCCTGGCTGTGCCTTCTTAAACTTTGAACTCCTTAAGTCCAGGAACTAGAACGAGTAGACACTGATTCTCATTTAATAAATGTGTTAGCAGAACCTGTCCTGGTTGAGATTAAGGGTAAAGGCTGCCCTAATAACTTTTGGGCTAGGAGATTAAATGGTAACCCTAAAAGATCCTCTGGTCCAACATTACTTTGAGATTCTACTTTTTAGGTATTCTAGATATGCTGGGTTTAATTAAGTGAAAAAAACCAGGTGTTAATAGTATGTATGGTATTCTATTGCATTTAGAAAGACAAAATTATTAGAATATATGTATATGTACTTGTAGCTGGGAGGATGTACAAGAAAACGGGTTGCTTGTGTGGAAGCAAAGTAGGGGATAGCAAAGTAGATAAGGAAGGGGTTGGAGTGAAACTTCTCATGTATACCTTGTTACAAAAGATTTAATTTTGAACCATATGAACATTATCTACTCAGAATAAATAATTCTTTTTTTTTTTTTTTTGGAGATGGGGTTTCATGCTTGTTGCCCAGGCTGGAGTGCAACATGGCATGATCTCAGCTTACTGCAACCTCCGCCTCCCGGGTTCAAGCAATTCTCCTGCCTCAACCTCCCAAGTAGCTGGCATTACAGACAGGTGCCACCATGCCCCGCTAATTTTGTATTTTTAGTAGAGACGGGGTTTTGCCATGTTGATCATCCTGCTCTTGAACCCCCGACCTCAGGTGATCCACCCTCCTTGGCCTCCCAAAGTGCTGGGATTACAGGCGTGAGCTACCATGCCCGGCCAGAATAAATAATTTTTAAAAATTTATTTCATATGGCTAAGAATATTGCTTTATTTTTTTATTTATTTTTTATTTATTTATTTATTTTTTTTTTTTTTGAGACGGAGTCTGGCTCTGTCCCCCAGGCTGGAGTGCAGTGGCCGGATCTCAGCTCACTGCAAGCTCCACCTCCCGGGTTCACGCCATTCTCCTGCCTCAGCCTCCCGAGTAGCTGGGACTACAGGCGCCCGCCACCGCTCCCGGCTAATTTTTGTATTTTTTTTAGTTGAGACGGGGTTTCACGTGTTAGCCAGGATGGTCTCGATCTCCTGACCTCGTGATCCACCCACCTCGGCCTCCCAAAGTGCTGGGATTACAGGCTTGAGCCACCGCGCCCGGCCTGCTTTATTTAATTGAATCATACGATTCAAAATTCTGTCCATTTTTACTATTTTACCAAAATTCTATTTCTTTTTTTTTTTTTTTTTTTTTTTTTGAGGCGGAGTCTCGCTCTGTCGCCCAGGCTGGAGTGCAGTGGCCGGATCTCAGCTCACTGCAAGCTCCGCCTCCCGGGTTCACGCCATTCTCCGGCCTCAGCCTCCCGAGTAGCTGGGACTACAGGCGCCCGCCACCTCGCCCGGCTAGTTTTTTGTATTTCTTAATAGAGACGGGGTTTCACCGTGTTAGCCAGGATGGTTTCGATCTCGTGACCTCGTGATCCGCCCGTCTCGGCCTCCCAAAGTGCTGGGATTACAGGCTTGAGCCACCGCGCCCGGCCAATTCTATTTCTTTTCATTGTTTTTTAAAAATCATGAGGGGCCTGGCACAGTGGCTTATGCCTGTCATCGTAACACTTTGTGAGGCTGAGGCAGGCAGATTGCTTGAGCTTAGGAGTTCCAGACCAGCCTGGGCTACATGGCAAAGCGCTTCTCTACTAAAAATACAAAAATTAACCTGGTGTGGTGGCATGCACCTGTAGTCCCAGCTACTTGGCGGGCTGAGGCACGAGAATCACTTAAACCCAGGAGGTGGAGGTTATAATAAGCCGAGATGATGCCACTGCCCTCCAACCTGTGTGACAAAGTGAGATTCGGTCTCAAAAAAAATAAATACCAGGGTGGCTCATGCCTGTAATCCCAGTACTTTTGGAGGCTGAGGCGGGCGGATCACGAGGTCAAGAAATCGAGACCATCCTGACCAACATGGTGAAACCCCATCTCTACAAAAAATACAAAAATTAGCTGGGCGTGGTAGCGTGTGCCTGTAGTACCAGCTACTCGGTAGGCTAAGGCAGGAGAATCGCTTGAACCCAGGAGACGGAGGTTGCAGTGAGCTGAGATCACATCATTGTACTCTAGCCTGGCGACAGAGTAAGACTCTGTCTCATTTAAAAAAAAAAAAAAAAGTCATGAGGGATCAGACTCCATGAGTTGATATCTGTACCACTAAAGATCAATGTATAAGCCAGATTAGTGGTTTATTAACACAGGCTACAAACAGTCCAGGATGCTTACATGGATTAGTCAGCTCGTTTTCTTCTAGTAGGGAAATCTATCCAGAGAACTAAATGAAAATTTAGAATATTGTTTAATACAGATTCAAACCAAAAGGAATTGGATAATCTTAAGTATATGATTTGTCTTTTTTCATAATAGGGATATTCTTCTTGCCAGGGCTTCAAATTAGGCCAGCCTTCCAGAGTGCGTTCTCTGATCCATACAGGAGTACACTAAAAAATTCTTAAACTCTGTGATTACTATTTTCCTTTTCTTTGGAATCTGAATGGGTTAGATTAGATGATGTCTGAGGTCTTGGCAAGGCAAAAGCATTCTTTGCTTCTAAGAATCTGATCAGTTGGACAGTTCTCCTTATAACAGATAAATGAGCATAGTTATGTATAAATCAGTTCCTTGCCATGTTGATTAGTGTGAATCAGTTCACCTAATGCTTTTGAAAATCTATCAAAATCTGTGTAACCCACTTTTCTGCTGGCACTGGAAAGAAAAAAAATCTGCGTAACAGCTTTGGTAATTACAGAAATTACATTTTCTTTAACCACCTTATGGTTTCTGATTAAAGTTGAAATGGAGTTTAAGATTATTGCCTAGTACCTAAAAGTAAACTTTGAAAGCCAAAGTAGTGTGTAGGGCATATAATCTCAGAGGCCAATTCTGGACTGTGGAACTAATCTTATTCCATATCATCGTAATCTAAACCTGTTATAAACACATCTTTGTACACTAGCATTTATTTAAGCAAAAATTGTACAGTTATGTTCATCCTGGAACTTTCGGTCAGCAATCAAGGTTGTCCTAGTGTATTATAGCTCTAAGGAATGTTTTGCTTTGATTCTTTACTTTCTAAATATTAGGTCATTATAATCTTTGTGGCTCCCTTTCAGTAATATCAGTTACTGTGATTATTTCCATATGTTTCATGCTAGTGCAGCTGAGAACAGTCTAGGTCATCCAATTGGAATGTTATTTTTTAAATCACTATTTTCATAATTCCTCAGAGTGAATCTAGGAAATCTTTCCAGGTATCTGTCACCTTGACAGTTTTTATAAAGTACAATATGATTTCTTTGAATTTTCTGTTTTCAATACTAGAACAGTCTTACTTTTTTCCTTCTAGTACAATCATGTTTGAAATTAAGAAGATCTGCTGCATCGGTGCAGGCTATGTTGGAGGACCCACCTGTAGTGTCATTGCTCGTATGTGTCCTGAAATCAGGGTAACGGTTGTTGATGTCAATGAATCAAGAATCAATGCATGGAATTCTCCTACACTTCCTATTTATGAGGTAAGCTTATTAAACAACTCTGTGTTTTTATGCTCTTTGTTTTTTTACTTTCTTTATTAAATAATTTATATGCACTATTAATATAAAATCTATAACTGTAACTGATAAGAAATTAAATGAAAAAAATCTGGATACAAAACATATGGACATTAGAACACATTACTTTGGGTAATGTGGGTAGGAAAAATGACCAGAAAGAAGTCTATCAGAATGGTTGTATTAGTGCAGTGAGATTATGGCTAATTTTTTCTCTTCCCTGTTTTCATTTTTTTTTTTTTTTTTTTTTTTGAGACAGAGTCTTGCTCTGGCGCCCAGGCTGGAGTGCAATGACGCAATCTCAGCTCACAGCAACACCCACCTCACAAGTTCAAGCAATTCTCCTGCCTCAGCCTCCTGAGCAGCTGGGATTACAGGAGCCCACCACCACACCCAGCTAATTTTTGTATTTTTAGTAGAGATGGGGTTTCACCATGTTGGCTGGGCTGGTCTTGAACTCCTGAACTCAGGTGATCCACCCGCCTCAGCCTCCCGAAGTGCTGGGATTACAGGTGTGAGCCATTGCACCTGGCCGCCTTCCCTATTTTCCAATCTTGTCTGTTAGTATCATTACCATATTATAATAAAGTTAAAAAGTGGTATCCTGTAAAAATAAAATAAATAAAACTTTTATAATATTAATATAAGTTTAATATATTTTTGGATTATTATACTAACATCACATAAACCTTAGATGGATAAATGGCATCTTTCATATTTAGAGTTTGGTGCCACAAATCTTTTTAACTGGAATTTCAAAATTTTTGTGAATTTACAGAATTTAGAAAAATATGCTTCTAACTATTTTACTGAGCTATCTGGTTTCCTTTTTTTTTTTATTTTTGATATTTCACTGTAAAAAGAGTTCATCATATTATGCTTTTGAAACTCAACAGGAAAGCATTTGAAAATTTGATGATAGCATTTTCTAGCTAATATTAATATGTTTGTTTTTTTCCCCAAGAAAAGCTTGGTTATTTTTTGTTTGTTTTTTGAGACGGAGTTTCGCTCTTGTTGCCCAGGCTGGAGTACAGTGGCCCGATCCTGGCTCACTGCAACACCTGCCTTCTGGGTTCAAGCAATTCTCTTGCTTCAACCTCCTTAGTAGCTGGAATTATAGGTGCCCACCACCACTCCCAGCTAATTTTTGTATTTTTAGTAGAGACGAGGTTTCACCATGTTGGCCAGTGTGATCTCGAACTCCTGACCTCAGGTGATCGCCCCTCCTCGGCCTCCCAAAGTGCTGGGATTACAGGTGTGAGCCACCGCACCCAGCCAAAGCTTATTTATTTATGACTGTTATCAACCATAGACTTTAGTTGCCTTAGACTTTTAGAAGGAAAGTCTCAATCCAGTTTTATCTCTAAGATAGGTCTGCCTGCTATCTATAGGAATAGAAGATATGGGAATCTATGAAAAAGCACCCATAGAGTAGTAGTCACTCAAAAACATAGATTTACTTATTATATCTGAATCAGATTTAGGATTGAAATATTGGCGGCGCAGTGGCTCACAAGTGTAATCCTACCACTTTGGGAGACCAAGGCGGGCGGATTACCTGAAGTCAGGAGTTTAAGACCAGCCTGGCCAACATGATGAAAGCCCGTCTCTACTAAAAATATAAAAAATTAGCTGGATGCAGTGGCGCGCATCTATAATCCCAGCTACTTGGGAGGCTGAGGCAGGAGAATCGCTTATTCCCAGGAAGTGGAGGTTGTGGTAAGCTGAGATCACGCTACTGCACTCCAACCTGGGCTACAGAGCAAAACTTCGTCTCAAAAAAGAATATATATATATATTACTATATTCGATTTAGGGTAATTTAAAAAAATGTTTTGGAAAGATAACTTGATGGAGAGTTCTGTAATGCTGATATTGATAACAGGGTTGCAAGTCATTTGAAACCCTGTAAGCCATACTTATATCCAAACATTCAGTAATGAATTCTGCCAGCAGTATATTCTAGTCTTCACAAATAAGCCAGGCGTGGTGGCATGGCTTTTTAGTTCTGGCAGCTCAGGAGGCTGAGACAGAAGGATCACTTGAGCCTAGGGGTTCAAGTCCAGCCTGGGCAACATAGTGAGACCCCCATCTCCAAATAAAAAGAAAAAAAAAATACAGCTGGGCACAGTGGCTCACACCTGTAATCCCTGCACTTTGGGAAGCCAAGGTGAGCAGATCGCTCGAGGTCATGAGTTCGAGACCAACCTGGCCAACATGGCAAAACCTTGTTTCTACCAAAAATACAAAAATTAGCCAAGTGTGGTGGTGCATGCCTGTAAGCCCAGCACCTCAGGAGGCTGAGGTGAGAGAATTGCTTGAACCTGGGAGGCAGACGTTGCAGTGAGCTGAGATCGCACCACTGCACTCCAGCCTAGGTGACAGAGTGAAACTCTGTCTCCAAATAAGTAAATAAATAAATAAGAATAATGATACCCATCAGAATAGTTAAAATAATATTACTGACAATACCAAGTGTTTAGCAGTTAGAATTTTATGCTCTGCTTGGTAAGAATATAAATTGGTACAGTCACTTGGCAGAACTGTTTGACAGTATCTACTAAAGCTGAAAATAAGGCCAGGCGCAGTGGCTTACGCCTGTAATCCCAACAGTTTGGAAGGCTGGGCGAGAGGATTGCTTGAGCCCAGGAGTTCAAGCCCAGCCTGGGGCTTGAACATTGCAAGACCCCTGTTCCTTTTCTTTCTTTTTTTTTTTAAAGGCCAACCGCGGTGGCTCACACCTGTAATCCCAGCACTTTTGGAGGCCGACGCCATGCTGGTCAATATAGTGAAACTTTGTCTCTACAAAATATTTAAAAATTAACTGGGCATTGTGGCATGTGCCTGTGGTCCCAGCTACTTGAGGAGTTGAGGCAAGAGAATCACTTGAGCCCAGGAGGTTGAGGCTGCAGTGAGCCCTGTTGGCACCACTGCACTCTAGCCTGGGCAACAAAGTGAGACCCTCTCTCGAAAAAACAACAAAAAAAAAACTATTAGTCTGTGACCCAGCAATTCCAAGTGTATATCCAACAAATATGCATACATATGTGCAGTAAAGGACAGAAGTAACAACCTAAATATTAATCAGCAATAGAATGGATACATGAAGCTGGGTGCAGTGGCTCATGCGTGTAATCCCAGCACTTTGGGAGGCTGAGGTGGGCAGATCACCTGAAGTCAGGGGTTCTAAACCAGCCTGGACAACATGGTGAAATCCTGTCTCTATTAAAATGATACAAAAATTAACCAGGTGTAGTAGCGCATGCCTGTAGCCCCAGCTACTCGGGAGGCTGAGGCAGGAGAATCACTTGAACCTGGGAGGTGGGGGTTGCAGTGAGCTGAGATTGCACCACTGCACTCCAGCCTTGGTAACAGAGTGAGACTCCATCTTAAAAAACAAACAAACAAACAAAAAGAATGGCTACATGAATTATGGTATAATACTGCAACAAAATACTGTTACTGTGTTGAAAATCAAGGAAACTACTCCTGCACTTAAGAATATGGTTAAGGCCGGGCACGGTGGCTCAAGCCTGTAATTCCAGCACTTTGGGAGGCCGAGACGGGCGGATCACGAGGTCAGGAGATCGAGACCATCCTGGCTAACACCGTGAAACCCCGTCTCTACTAAAAATACAAAAAACTAGCCGGGCGAGGCTGAGGCAGGAGAATGGCCTAAACCCGGGAGGCGGAGCTTGCAGTGAGCTGAGATCCGGCCACTGCACTCCAGCCCGGGCTACAGAGCAAGACTCCGTCTCAAAAAAAAAAAAAAAAAAAAAAGAATATGGTTAAAATCTTACAAAAGTAGTGTTGCCAGACACAAAGGAGTACATACTATATAATTCCATTTGCATAAGGTTCAAAAATAGGCAAACTAATCTATGATTATAGAATTCAGCATGATGGTAATTTGGGAACAATAGTGACTCGGAGAGGGCATACAGTGGGCTTTGACTTACTGTTAATGTTCTTTCTTCTCTCATTACATGAATTACTGAGAAAATAGTAGATTCTGTTAATATTTAACAGTTAAAACACATCCTTTTGTGTTACCATATTTATTGAATAGATATTGCTTTTTAAACTTTGTTCATTAAAAAATACAGTGTAGGCTAGGTGTGGTGGCTCACACCTATAATCCCAGCACTTTGGGAGGCCAAGGCAGGTGGATCACCTGAGGTCAGAAGTTCGAGACCATCCTGGCCAACATGGTGAAACCCCGTCTGTATTAAAAAAAAAAGATACAAAAAAAAATTAGATGGGTGTAGTGGTGCGCGCCTGTAATCCCAGCTACTGGGGAGGCTGAGGCAGGAGAATTGCTTGAGTGTGGGAGGCAGAGGTTGCAGTGAGCCGAGATCGCGCCACTGCACTCCAGCCTGGCAACAGAGAGAGACTCCATCTCAAAAAAAAAAAAAAAATTAATAACTACTTTAAAGAAAAAAAATGGATAATTTGCCTTTTTTTTTTTCATTTTACTGAGGATAATTTTACCCTGTGAAAGAATTTGAGTTCTTCCATTAAAAGTACCATATACATTCTATATACCAATTATGATAATTACATAATGAACCTAATAACAGATAGAACCTATATTATTAACTGCTTCTGCATCCGTTTTGGAGATCTACAAAGATCCCACTGATTTTAATAAAATTATGTAAGTCTTTATTGAAGTTTTATTATATGTATATGAATTCTGCATTGCTCTAATTTTAGTAACTTTAAATATTAGGAGATTATACACGGGACTGAATTAAATTTTATTCTCTGCAAATCCCGACTCTATAAAACTTTTCCCTCATTTTCTAGAATCTAGCCAAAATAACCAAGGAAACCTGTTACTGTGATTGGTGACATCATATTTATGGTTGCAGTGGTTCATATATTTTGCTTGTCCCGTTATTTTAATCAAACTAATGGAAATTCAAATGTACATTTTTCACATCCTCCAGTTACTTATGTTAAGAGACCTTGGAACCATTGAAGAAAAGGGAGTTGCCTCTATATGTAATGCCAGACCTATGGCCCCTGAAGGGGCTTTCACTTTGCTATAGATATAGTTTTCTAAACATCCATAATATTATGGATGGATATTGTTTGAAGTTTCTCCCCTAAGAGTGAGCTTCAGTGGTTTAGGTCTGTTTTTTGCTTTTTATGATGGAAGATTTCAAGCATGTAATTAAAGATAATAGTACAATGAATCTCTATGTGTCTATCATCTTGTTTCACCAGTTATCTACATGGCCAGTCTCCCTTCCCAACTACCACCATGCTGATTACTTATAATTTCATCCATAAATACTTTATCATGTATCTCTAAAAGATAATTTTGGTTTTCTTTGAGACAGGGCCTTGCTCTGTGGCCCAGGCTGGAGTGCAGTGGCTCGATCTTGGCTCACTGCAGCCTCCGTCTGCTGGACTCAAGTGATCCTCCTACCTCAGCCTCCCGAATAGTTGGGACTACAGGCACGCGCCACCATGCCCAGCTATTTTTAAAAATTTTTTTCATAGAAATGGGATTTCGCCATGTTGCCCAGGCTGGTAGCCCACAATAGTTGGGCTTCAAGCAATATCTATTGGTTGAATAAACCAGTTTGTTTATTGGCTAGAAATTATCACAGTCTAGGCCAGGCACAGTGGCTCATGCCTGTAATCCCAGCACTTTCGGAGGTTGAGGTGGGTGGATCGCTTAAGGCCAGGAGTTTGAGACTAGCCTGGCCAACATGTAAAAACCCCGTCTCTACTAAAAATACAAAATTTAGCCAGGTGTGGTGGTGTGCGCCTGTAATCCCAGCTGCTTGGGAGGTTACGGCATGAGAATCACTTGAACCTGGGAGGTGAATATTACGGTGAGACGAGATGGTGCCACTGCACTCCAGCCAGGGTGACAGAGCAAGACTCTGTCTCAAAAAAAAGAAATTTTTCAGTCTAGATTTTGCTGGTTGGGTTCCTTGGAGTTTTTCAACTTATTCTTTATTTAATGTAAATTGGTAGTTAGGTCTAAAGGTACAGGTCCAATCAGATTTAGGCTTGAATTAAGAATATTTGTTAAGTGGTTTTATACCCCTCCATATTCTTAACATAAATATATCTCCTGTTAAACTGGGAATTTTTTAAAAATTAAAGGGTTCCTTGCAAAAGGACTTAGAAAAATGTATATTTATTTAAGTATATATGGAGTAAATTGACTTTCACAGCCAGTTGTATTGGCCTGAATTATTGGGAGTAAAAATGTGCATTCATAATGACAATGCAAAATCATATATTTGCTTGAAATCAAAGAGGACCTTGAATTTTCTGAAAATTGTGTTGATACTCACAGTTAATAGTTAACTCTTATGAGTAAGGCACATGGTAAACAATGACAAAGCATTAAATGAGCTGCTCTTCTGATTGTAGCAAGTTTAATGGCAATTTCCATTTTGCTTTATTTACTAAAGTATACTTATGAGACAGGGCATGGTAACTTAACTCCTATAATCCCAGCACTTCAGGAGGAGGAGCAGGAAGGATTGCCTGAGCCTGGGAGGTCAAGGCTGCGTGAGCTGTTATGCAGCTGCACTCCAGCCTGGGGGACAGAGTGAAACCCTGTATCAAAAAATAAAATAGGCAAGGTGTGGTGGCTTATGCATGTAATCCCAGAACTTTGGGAGGCCAAGGCAGGTGGATCACCTGAGGTCAGGAGTTCAAGACCATCCTGACCAACATGGTAAAACCCCATCTCTACTAAAAGTACAAAATTAGCCTGGTGTGGTAGTGCATGCCTGTAATCCCAGCTACTTGGGAGGCTGAGGCAGGAGAATTGCTTGAACCCGGGAGATGGAAGTTGCAGTGAGCCGAGATCATGCCACTGCACTCTAGCCTGGGTGACAGAAAGAGACTCTGTCTCATAAAATAAAATAAAATAAAATAAAATAAAATAAAATAAAATAGGCTGGGCATGGTGGCTCACTCTTATAATCCCAGCACTTTGGGAAGCTGAGATGGGAGGATTATTTGAGCCCAGGAATTTGAGACCAGCCTGGACGACCCAGTGAAACCCCGAAACCCCATCTCTACCAAAAAAAGATACAAAAATTAGCCAGGCCTGGTGGCTCCTGTGGTCCCAGCTACTTGGGAGGCTGAGATGGAAGGATCATTTGAGCCTAGGAGGCAGAGGCTGCAGTGAGCTGAGATTGCACCACTGCACTCCAGCCTGGGTGACAGAGTGAGACCCTGTCCCTATTTAAAAAATGAGATGTGCACTTATGGCCTTTGGTATATGATCCTTAACTTTTCCACAAAGGTAATTTGAGCACAACCTAGACCTCTAAATTACAATGTTACCATCCCCTTTAACAAATGTAATTCTATACTATTAGGTTATCTCATATCACTGGCAAGCTATATGTCTTTTTTCTTTCTAGCCAGGACTAAAAGAAGTGGTAGAATCCTGTCGAGGAAAAAATCTATTTTTTTCTACCAATATTGATGATGCCATCAAAGAAGCTGATCTTGTATTTATTTCTGTAAGTATTTTCCTTTGCTGTGTGAATTTTAATGTGTTCTTGTCTATATAAAAGTTTCATCATACTTTAATAGTAAATCCATTGATATTAAGCCTCAACATTGCTGAGTATAGAGTTGTCCAGTTGAATTTTGGTTGTCACTTTATCTAACAGTTCACAAAACCCCATAATCATCTGATCAAATATGTCATTTCAAGTCATTGAACAAGTAAACTCAAACAAAGTTCTGAGATTTAGAACTAGGAAATGGGCAGGTGCAGTGGCTCATGCCTGTAATCCCAGCATTTTGGGAGGCCGAGGCGGGTGTCAAGAGATCGAGACCATCCTGGCCAACTTGGTGAAACCCTGTCTCTACTAAAAATACAAAATTTAGCTGGGCATGGTGGTGTGCCAGTCCAGCTACTCAAGAGGCTGAGGCAGGAGAATCGCTTGAACCTGGGAGGCAGAGGTTGCAGTGAGCCGAGATCGCACCACTGCACTCCAGCCTGGCAATAGAGCGAGACTCTGTCTCAAAAAAAAAAAAAAAAAAAAAAGAACTAGGAAATTCTGGTAACATGAAAGCACATGTAATGATAATATATTTCATATTATCATTATTTCTTGTTTCCAGTGGTTGGCAGAGGTGAGATGAAGAAAATCAGTTTGCAAACTTACAGGCATCTCCTCTCTAAATGAATTTTATATTAATTGTTTGTAACTTGGCATATGTTGGTTAGATTATCAGGCTAACCAACAGACATCTTTACCTCATAATGTGGCTTTATAATGAAAAAAACAGAACCAACACTTGAGATTAAACTCTAGTAATCCACTATTTGAACCAAAGCAACTTACATCTTATTGTCCTAGTAACCATCTGTTCAAATATTCTGTGTGTAATGATATAGCTATCACCAGTTGGAAGCTGAGTGACAGTGTTATTTGACTTAAGATCTTTATGAGCTGGGCATAAGGGCTCATGCTTGTAATCCCAGCCAGCACTCTGGGAGACCAAGGCAGGCGGATCGCTTGAGCGTAGGAGTTTGAGACCAGTGTGGGCAACATGGTGAAACCCTGTCTCTAATTAGCTGGCCGTGGTGCTATGTGTCTGTAGTCCTGACTACTTGGGAGACTGAGGTTGGAGGATTGATTGAACCCCGGATGTTGAGGCTGCAGTGAGCCATTATTGTACCTTGCACTCCAGCCTAGGTGACAGGAGACCTTGTCTCAAAAAAAAAAAAAAAAAAAATTCAGTCTCTTCTTTTTGACCTCCTTAATAATTTCAGAGAAATTGATGCATGCAGCTTCTATGATTTACCTACCCATCCCCTATTTAAGCTATTTAAACTTGCAGAAACTTAGAGTAGAGGCATAAAAAAAAAAAAAAAAAAAAAAAAGAAAATATTTTGGAGTAGCTAGGTACCTGGAAAAAAATCAATGAGTTACTTAGTCTAATTTTTAGGTGACCAGAGCCTGGAATGGTAATAGAAGAATTTTCTGCAGAAAGGACATTTAAAAATAATCTGTTTTTGAATGCCAGACAGGAATTATTTTGTAGCGATCAGTTTTCAACTGTTGTTTTCAAAGCTCCTTTATCAGAGGAAGCTGTCTGGTCATCTCCCATCTCTAGCCAGTTTCACCCTACATCATGAGCTGTCTGCCTTTCTGTACACCATTACATCTAACTCTTGCCCTAAGTTGTTCCATGCATATAAACAACTTTTTCCTCCTGCTTTTCATACCTCAACTCAATCTTCAAGTTTTGATTTATTTTCACTTGGTTCCTTTATTTAGTCTCCCATTGGGTTATAATCTCATCAAGAGAAGAGAGTTAGTACTACTTACTATTAGTTCAAAAATAATTCCTATTCCCTTTAAGTTTTAGACTTTTCAGAGCACTTTCATTTTTGTCAGAGCATCATAACATTCATGTGTTAGTTTTTAGAGAGCCTGCTATCCTCATTTTCCAATGAGGTCATTGAGGCAGAGGCAGCCACACTTCTCCAAGGTTACATGTAATCCAAAACTAAATGCCTAGACTCTGGGCTCATGATTTTTTTTTTTTTTTCTCTAAAGGAAAGTCTTCGTCCATTGGCCAGGTGTGGTGGCTCATGCCTATAATCCTAGTACTTTGGGAGGCTGAGGCAGGCAGATCACTTGAGGTCAGGAGTTTGAGACCACCCTGGCCAACATGGTGAAACCCCGCTTAAAAATACAAAAATTAGGCAGGCGTGGTGGCACACCTGTAATCCCAGCTACTCAGGAGGCTGAGGCAGGAGAATCGCTTGAACCCAGGAGGCAGAGGTTGCAGTGAGCCGAGATCATGCCACTGCACTCCAGCCTGGGTGACAGCGCAAGACTCTGTCTTAAAAATAAAAAAAAAAAAAAAAAAGGCAAGTCTTTGTCCACATAGTATTCTGTATCCTGAAGATGATAGATAATGTCTAGCTTTAATGAGCTCAGAAAGTATTTGTGAATAATATTGCAATATTTTAAAAGACTGTTGATACAGGACTATAAAAATAGGGGAATAAGAAAGGAGACCAGGCGCGGTGGCTCACACCTGTAAACCCAACACTTTGGGATGCTGAGGTGGACAGGTCACCTGAAGTCAGGAGTTTGGACCAGCCTGGACAACATGATGAAACCCTGTCTCTACTAAAAATATTTAAAAAAGGAGTGGGGTGTGGTGGCGCATGCCTCTAGTCCCAGCTACTTGGGAGGCTGAGGCAGGAGAATCGCTTGAACCTGGGAGGCAGAGGTTGCAATGAGCCGGGACTGCACTACTGCACTCCAGCCTGGGCAACAGAACAAGACTCCATCTCAAAAAAAAAAAAGACTTTAAATTTATTTTTAAGGACTATAATGATATATTAATACAATAAAGAAAGAGAATAAGAAATAAGAAAAGGCTTATGTTTCATTTCAGATTGTGAAGTCCTTTAGGATAACTGTCTCATTCATTTATATATCTTCGGGGCTTACCTGGAATCTGCCTGCCCTAGTTATCTGGCATATAGATAGTAGCTTCCCAACAAAAATTTATTGAGTGAGTTCTCTAGATGCTTCAAGCTATTTCTTCTGATGATTATATTTATAAAATGTATTATTTCTGTGGAACTAACAGAGGATTAAATCAGGACTACTGATGATTGTTAACTCCACACTTTAACCAGGACTTCAGGATATATCTTGAAATCCCTATCTCATAGGCACTCTGTTCTTTATCCCATATACTTTCATCAGGTGAATACTCCGACAAAAACCTATGGAATGGGGAAAGGCCGGGCAGCAGATCTGAAGTATATTGAAGCTTGTGCTAGACGCATTGTGCAAAACTCAAATGGGTACAAAATTGTGACTGAGAAAAGCACGGTTCCAGTGCGGGCAGCAGAAAGTATTCGTCGCATATTTGATGCAAACACAAAACCCAACTTGAATCTACAGGTATAAAAAATGAAGCATTAGAATCTGGTTGTTCTTATGTAAATACTGATGTGTTAAAGTTGCCCAAAATTAATTCTAGCTTAAAACTTTCCTTTACATTGGGATTCTAGGTGCTGTCCAACCCTGAGTTTCTGGCAGAGGGAACGGCCATCAATGACCTAAAGTACCCAGACAGGGTACTGATTGGAGGGGATGAAACTCCAGAGGGCCAGAGAGCTGTGCAGGCCCTGTGTGCTGTATATGAGCACTGGGTTCCCAGAGAAAAGATCCTCACCACTAATACTTGGTCTTCAGAGCTTTCCAAACTGGTTAGTATATAGCATTCAACTCTCCATTAAATTAAAGCCAAATACTTATTTATTTTAAGCCTGATAAGCTACACAGATACTTTTTTAATAGTAGTAAGAGGTTATGCTTTTGAAGATCATATTCTTGCACGTTTAAATTATGAAATAATTTTCACAAGGGAGATCATATATCAGGGTATAAAATATTCTGAAAAATTATGAAATCTTAAAATAGTAATTTGGTTTTTATCACTCTTTCCTTCTCTTTACCCTTTTTCTTAATCATCGGTCCTCTCTAATTTAAAACATTTTCCCTTTCTAACCCATCCATTGTCTCCTCAAATTGAGCTCATCAGTATCTCATGTATCTCCCTCAGTAATTTGCATCAACGCAATGAAATATAAACTAGATGTGTAAAATTGCTGTTTTAGCCTATCTTACTCTTCTCTGTGTGTGTGTGTTTTTTTTAAGGCAGCAAATGCTTTTCTTGCCCAGAGAATAAGCAGCATTAATTCCATAAGTGCTCTGTGTGAAGCAACAGGAGCTGATGTAGAAGAGGTAGCAACAGCAATTGGAATGGACCAGAGAATTGGAAACAAGTTTCTAAAAGCCAGTGTTGGTAAATTCAAATTTTTCTCTAATAAAGAGAGCTACTATTTACTGAAGGCATATTATCTGCTGGTACCAGTGCTTTATATATCTCACTGAATCCTTATAACCTGTTAGGAAGATGCTGTTATTTTCTTTTTTAGAGATGCTTCAGACCCAGGGAAATTTGTGCAACTTGCTCGAAGTCATGCAACTGAGTGACCAGATGTTTCTAACTCCAAAGCCATATTATTCCTTACTGCATACTGCATTGCATTAGAGCAAGTGTGGGCAAACTATGGCCCTTGGGTCAAATCCAGTCCACAGCTTGTTTTTGTAAATAAATTTTATTGGAACACAGCCATGACCATTAGACTACATATTGTCTATGGCTGCTTTTGAGCTACAGTGGCAGTTTAATAGTCTCCTCAGAAACTGAATGGTCCACAAAGGCTGAAATATTTACTGTCTGGCCCTTTGCCATGAAAGTTTGCTAACCCAGGCCAGGCACAATGGCTCATGCCTACAATCCCAGCACTTTGGGAGACTGAGGCCAAGGCAGGCGAATTGCTTGAGCCCAGGAATTTGAGACCAGCCTGGGCAGCATGGTGAAGCCCTAGCTCTACAAAAAAATAAAAAAAATTAGTCATGCACACCTGTAGCCCTAGCTACCTGGGAGGCTAAGGTAGGAGGATCACCTGAGCCTGGGAGGTCAAGGCTGCAGTGAGCCATGTTCATACCACTACACTTCAGTCTGGGCGACAGAGGGAGACTCTGTCTCAAAAAGAGAAAAAGTTTGCTGACCCTCTGCTAGAGTAAAGAATGTGGGGCAGTCATACTAGATGAATGAGAAAAAAATAGGGGATAAAAGGAAACAATATAAAAAGTTAAACGTAGTCATAATGAAACTTTAGTTAGAAAATTATTTGGAAGTTACTTGTGGAGTTGTTGCCTGCAAATTTTACATAATTTAGAAGCCTATTATTTATCTATCTGAATTTTATTATTAAAAAATCTTAGTATAAGGTTTCTGATTTAGTATAAAGAAATTTGTCACATGATTGAGTTTTCTCGTTCTTACATGAAAATATTGTTTATTTTTTTCTTTCTGTAGGGTTTGGTGGGAGCTGCTTCCAAAAGGATGTTCTGAATTTGGTTTATCTCTGTGAGGCTCTGAATTTGCCAGAAGTAGCTCGTTATTGGCAGCAGGTATTAATCTTTATAGGTAATAATTTCTGTTTAGCCAGGCATAGTGGTTCACACCTGTAATCGCAACACTTTAGGAAGCCAAGGCAGGAGCATCACTTGAGGCCAGGAATTTGGGACTGACCTGGGCACCATAGTGAGACCCCATGTCTACAAAAAATTTAAAAATTAGCCAGGCATGGTGCTGCACACCTGCAGTCCTAGCTACTCAGGAGGCTGAGGTGGGAGGATCACTTGAACCTAGGAGTTGGAGGCTCCCGTGACTTATGATCCCTCCACTGCACTGTAGCACAGACAACAGAGTGAGACCCTGTCTCTAACATAATAATAGTAATAGCAATAATAATAGCAATTTCTGTTTAGCTTCTCATTAAGCATGTCACTTTTTGTCCATGAAATATTTTTGATGGAATTTATTTATTCCAGGAAGTCAAACATTAGTATATTCAATTTGCTTATTTTATGTTTATTTATTGGGTATCTGTGTTTTTAATTTATCTTTCCTGCTAATCAATGTTGATGGAAGTTTGTGATAAACCAGTATTCTAATTTTATAGCTAAATTTGCTCCCAGAGTAAAACAAAAACAATTATCCTTAATTATAATTCTTCTCTTTTTTTTTTTTTTGAGACAAGATCTCACTCTGTCACCCAGGCTAGAATGCAGTGGTGTCATCCCTGCTCACTGCAGTGACCTCCTGTGCTCAAGTAGTCCTCCCACTTCAGCCTCCCAAGTAGCTGGGACTTCAGGAATGCACTACCACGTTGGCGAATTTTTTTATTTAAAAAAATTTTTTTGTAAAGACAAGGTCTCACCATATTGCCCAGGCTGGTCTCAAACTCCTGGGCTCAGCAGTCCTCCCGTCTTTGCCTCCCAAAGTGCTGGGAATATAAGTGTTAGCCAGTGAACCTAGCCTAATTCTTCTCTGTCTTGAAAGGCATAAAATCAAAGTAAAGTAAGAACCTATATTATAACATTGGTCGGGCGTGGTGGCTCACACCTGTAATCCCTGCACTTTGGGAGGCTGAGGTGGACAGATCACTTGAGAGTCAGGAGTTCGAGACTGGCCTAGCGAGGCTGAGGCATGAGAATCACTTGAACCCAGGAGGCGGAGGTTCTAGTGAACCAGGATTGCGCCACTGCACTCCAGCCTGGATGACAGAGCGAGACTTCATCTCAAAAAACCAAACAGAACCTATATTGTCATGCTTTCAAGTGGTTTTGTGTTTGTTGTTATTTGTTTTGAACCTTTCAGACTCACAGAGCTAAAATTAGAAACCCTTCCCAAATTGGAAGCATTAAGCGAGCTCTGGGAAGTAGAGTTGATGTTTACTGAATGCTTACCCTGTACTGGGTACTCTTTTGGGCACTTCGCATACAGTATCATTTAATCCTCATCACTAACATTATCCCCTTTATTTGATGAGGGAACTGACACAGAGATATTAAGTAATTTGTCCCAATTACTAGTTGGTATATGTGCCTTTCCCAAATATTTTCCCCCTGAGTTTATAATTTTTCAGGTTTCAGCAGTAGATATGGGAGGGAATCTAAAGAAATGCACGTTTCTTTTTTTAAAATGTTTTACTTTTTAGAGACAGGATCTCACTGAGTTGCCCAGGCTAGATTCCAACTCTTGGGCTCACGTGATCCACCTGAGCCTCCTGAGTAGCTGGGACTACAGGCGCACCACCCTGCCTAGCCAGAAATGCACATTTTTAAGGGAAAACAGATACACTTAGTGTCATTCCAGTCAATCCATCATGATGGCTTTATCTCACTGTTCATCATGTGAAAATTGCAGATAAACTCTTGATTTTCCAGCACTTTGGGCTAATTGCTTAAGCTCTCAAGGTTTGATTGAGATGGTCCCTGGAAGCTTAAAGCCTTAAAAAAAAATTTCTTTTGCTTTGCCTACCTGGTTACCAACCTAAATTTAACAGATTAAGTGATCGGAGACTCTTCTCGTATAACATTTAGTTCATTAAAAACCTTGTCAAATATTTGTGGTGGTATGGTTCATCCAGAGGTAGCTAGAACCATAATTGTTTGTTCCCTGCTCACTTTCCACTGAAACTGAATTTTTGTAAATAGTGGAGCACAAGCAAATGAAGGAATACTTTGGGGTTTGATTGCTTATAGCTTGTTTCCACAGAGTTTAGAGACACGGGCTAAGGAGAATATGGTTTCCTATGTGCCTTATTTAGGCTGGTCTCATAGCTGAACCTGAAATGCGCTTAGAATTAAAACTTGGTTGTGCACTCCAATTTTTGCATCCATCCTAGCCTTATACGTGGAAAATCAAGCCAAATTAAATTACAAATTTTTAGGATGGCTTTTTTTTTTTCTTTTTTTTTAAATTTAAGACAGGGTCTGGCTCTGTCACCCAGGCTGGAGTGCAGTGGCATGATCTTGGCTCACTGCCACTTCTGCCTCCTGTGCTCAAGCCATCCCACCTCAGCCTCCCAAGTAGCTGGGACTACAGGCACATGCCACCATGCCTGGTGAATTTTTGTATTTTTTGTAGAGACAGGGTCTCACCGTGGTGCCCAGGCTGGTCTTGAACTCCTGAGCTCGAGCAATTGCCCACCTTGGCCTCCTAAAGTGCTGGGATTACAGATGTGAGCTACCACTGCTGGCCTAGGATGGCTTTAAGGAAGGGGATGGGTGATTCTTTTTTTGTTGTTGTTGTTTTGTTTTAAATCCACAGGCACTACAGTTTGGTTAATTTTTGCCTCCTGTTTATATGTAAGTGTTGTATTTGTACAATAGCACTCACCATAAAACTCTGAGTAATGTGTGTCATAGGCCGTACCTCTTTTAACTAATCATTGCACAATTGTACATGTAATTTCAGGTGATAGACATGAATGACTACCAAAGGAGGAGGTTTGCTTCCCGGATCATAGACAGTCTGTTTAATACAGTAACTGATAAGAAGATAGCTATTTTGGGATTTGCATTCAAAAAGGACACTGGTGATACGAGGTATCAGTTTTTTAAAATATTTCAAGCCCTTTGAGATTGTGTTAATTTTTTGATTGGTGGATGTGTACATCTTAATTTTTTGATTGGTGGATGTGTGCATAAAATACATGTATATATATAATATAAAGAATAAAAATAAACATCCATATCTTCACCACTCCACCAGCTTAAGAAATATAATTTTACCTGACTGGGCGTGGTAGCTCACGCCTGTAATCTCAGCACTTTGGGAGGTGGAGGTGGGTGGATCACGAGGTCAGGTCAGGAGATTGAGACCATCCTGGCTAACATGGTGAAACACCATCTCTACTAAAAATACAAAAAAATTAGCCAGGCGTGGTGGTGGACACCTGTAGTCCCAGCTACTCGGGAGGCTGAGGCAGGAGAATGGCATGAACCCGGGAGGTGGAGCTTGCAGTGAGCCAAGATTGCACCACTGCACTCCAGCCTGGGTGACAGAGTAAGACTCTGTCTCCAAAAAAAAAAAGGAAATATAATTTTACCTGTATCTTAAACTCCCTGGTATTAGAATATAATGCCATGTAAAGCTTAGCAATACTGATTTTTTTTTCCTATAGAGAATCCTCTAGTATATATATTAGCAAATATTTGATGGATGAAGGCGCACACCTCCATATATATGATCCAAAAGTACCTAGGGAACAAATAGTTGTGGATCTTTCTCATCCAGGTGTTTCAGAGGATGACCAAGGTAAGGCTTTGAGTCTCATGAATCATTTTGAGTACAGACCTTAAAACTTTTTATCTTCTGGAAACCTTAGGTTGTTCAGTTTTATCATTGATATCATTGGTAGGCCTTCTTTTAAACCTCATTTCTCTGAAATTAAAGTCTTAGGCATAATGTCATCAACACTGATTTGAAGTGATCAGCTGTGGATTGGTCCATTGATTTTTCCAACATATTCCACAAAGCCCCAAAATTCCAAGGAGATGATTCCAAGGCAGATTTTGGGGCCTGCCACCATCACTCCCACTGATGCTAAAATCAGATTATTCCCAACTCTTCTGCAGTCCTAGTGTTAGAGTATCTATAGTACTATCCCCCTTATGTGTGGTTTTTCTTTCCATGGGTTCAGTTATCTGCAGTCAATTGCAGTCTGAAAGTACTAGAAAGAAAATTCCAGAAATAAACAATTCATAAGTTTTAAATTGTGTACTGTTTCATCCTGCCTGGAACATTTATCATTCATTTGTCCAGCATATCCACATTCCACATGCTACTCGCCCATTAGTCACTTAGTAACTTTTGGCAATCAGATTCAAAAAACAAGTATGTGTGTAAGTATATATAGGGGTTCAGTATTCTCCACAGTTTCAGACATCTACTGGGGGTCTTGGAATGTATCCCTGCAGATAAGGGGGGAACTACTGTAATGTCAAATAACTCCTTATTTCTGTTTTTTTGTTGTTGCTGTTACAGTGTCCCGCCTCGTGACCATTTCCAAGGATCCATATGAAGCATGTGATGGTGCCCATGCTGTTGTTATTTGCACTGAGTGGGACATGTTTAAGGTAAGGTAACAGAAATGATACTAAGGAAAATTCTAGAGGTGTTCCATTATCAGCTAAGGTTGAGTATGTGTTCATGTATGTGTGTTTTTTTTTTTTTGAGACAGAGTCTTGCTCTGTCACCCAGGCTGGAGTGCAGTGGCACCATCTCAGTTCACTATAAGCTCTGCCTCCTGGGTTCTCGCCATTCTCCTGCCTCAGCTTCCTGAGTAGCTGGGACTACAAGCACCTGCCACCACGCTTGGCTAATTTTTTGTATTTTTAGTAGAGATGGGGTTTCATCATGTTGGCCAGGATGGTCTCGATCTCCTGACCTCGTGATCCACCCACCTCGGCCTCCCAAAGTGCTGGGATTACAGGCATAAGCCACTGCGCCCAGCTCATGTATGTGTTTTAATTGTTCCTATGGTTTGTCTTTACAGGAATTGGATTATGAACGCATTCATAAAAAAATGCTAAAGCCAGCCTTTATCTTCGATGGACGGCGTGTCCTGGATGGGCTCCACAATGAACTACAAACCATTGGCTTCCAGGTAATCATGATCCTGGACCCTTTTTCTTCTTTTTGTTTGGTCTTTAGTGTTTGATTCAACAACTGGGGACTATAATCTAGTCAAGTTGACATCAAAAGACCATCACAGCAGGTCAGAATATGTTTGGCTGATTAAGATGACACCTAGGGAAGTTCTAGGGCAGTTCTTTTGGGGAACCAAATCAATATCAGAAGTTTATTTCAACAATTAGGAAAGTGCTCATTTGCTTTTTAAACCCATTGTGTGGGTTTTAGAATTTTCTTATTTTCCTTAGCACTAACCTAACTCTGGGACAACATGTCAGTTCTTTAGGAAGTCCCTTTGGGATTTTTCTGACTATTCTACTTCCTCCCTAAATTTGTGATCTAAAGGTAGAGAAAGAAAGAGGTCTTGGTCAATCAGCAGGTGTTCATCCTATACCTCCTGAGTACTCAGCACTGTCCCAGTGCTGTGAGGGGTCTGAATGAAATATATGGGAGTTTCAATGGTACTGGCCCGCTTCTGATTCAAAGTTTATCAACTGGCCAGGCATGGTGGTTCACACCTGTAATCCCAGCACTTTAGGAGGCTGTGGAGGTGGATCACTTGAGGTCAGGAGTTTGAGACCAGCCTAGCCAACATGGCGAAACCCTGTCTCTAAAAAAAAATACAAAAATTGCCGGGCATGATGGCTCAAGCCTGTAATCCCAGCGCTTTGGGAGGCTGAGGCAGGCATATCACAAGGTCAGGAATTCGAGACCAGCCTGGCCAATACTGTGAAACCCCATCTCTACTAAAAATACAAAAATTAGCTGGGCGTGGTGGCACATGCCTGTAATCCCAGCTACTCCAGAGGCTGAGGCAGGAGAATTGCTTACACCTGGGAGGTGGAGGTTGCAGTGAACCAAGATCACACCACTGCACTCCAACCTGGGTGACAGCGCAAGACTCCATCTCGGAAAAAAAAATAATAGTAATTAGCCGGGCGTGGTGGCCTGCGCCTGTAATCCCAGCCACATGGGAGGCTGACGTGGGAGGATTACTTGAGCCCGGCAGGCAGAGGTTGTAATGAGCTGAGATCATGCCGTTGCATGCCAGCCTGGGTGACAGAGCGAGACCCTGCCTCAAAAAACAAAAAACAGCTTGTCAATTATGGAACATTTGGAAAGCTGAGAGAAGCCTCCACCCAGAACAGTGTATTTGTATGTTACATCTATTTCAGTTCTCCAAGGAGTCCCAAAAGTATTAATAAGAAGCTACTTTCCATTTCCTTAGAGCAGTGTGTATATGGGGATAGGAGGATGGGGAGGTGGAGTAAGTTAGGGAGAATAAAAAAATATGCCAGGGGGTTGCAGTCAACGTAGTGCCCACGCAGAGCAGAAAAGCAGCAGTGTTTGATAGCTTGCTATACACATCTCAGCACCAGCTATCTTGGAGAGGTACAAGTAAGGCCTAATCTGCTATTCAAAAATATCTGATCTGGTTCTCTTAAACCTCTCACCAACTTGGTGAAGGTCCTTATTTAGAACTCAGTGCCCATTTCTCCTTCATGAGAGATTTGCTTGTGGAAAGAATCAAATGGCATCCTTGTCTGTGAACTCTTCCGTCCAAGACCTTGGGGACTCTTCTATTCCACCCCTCCCTAGTGAGTAACAGCATGACGGTTTTCCCCGGTCATGACTAAACTCAGGAATGTTATTTTTAAAAGGTTATTTGCAAGGCATAGACACATTTTCTGTCATTCCTGTTTTACTCATCTAAGGGGAAACATATGTAGAGAAATACATATTTTAAATGATTTTAAGTTATTGTAAAAGTTAACTTTCCTAGTGATGATTAAAAAAACAATTAGGAATGGAATCACTAAATGAGGAGAATTTGTAAGTCACTAAGACAACTGGTTAATATAAAGCAGAAGCCCTTTTTTTGTGGTATGAGTCAGAATTAAATATTAATTTATAATTCAAAAGAAAGAGAATTGAGTAGTATATTTATCTCTGCTGTGGAGGGGAGATAAATTCATGACCGTTGAAGTAGTATTTTTAATAAGAAGATGATTTTGAATATATGGAATAAATGAAAAATGTAACAGGCAAAACAAAAATTGATTATCATTCAGTGAAGGCTGGCTTGTTGTATGCTAAGCACTTTACCTAATTTAATACTTACCACAACCCTTTGAGTTAAGTGGTGGTAACACAATTTACAAGTGGGAAGAAAGACCTGGAGAGTTTAGGTAATGCAGCAAGTGCCAGTCAGGATTCCAGACTCCGAAGTCTGAATTCTTAAGAATTATGCTGTTGGCAGCACACAGTGGCTTATGCCTGTAATCCCAGCACTTTGGGAGGCCAAGGCGGGTGGATCACGAAGTTAGGAGTTTGAGACCAGCTTGGCCAATATAGTGAAACCCCGTCTCTACTAAAAATACAAAAACATTAGCCTGGTGTGGTGGTGGGCGCTTGTAATCCCAGCTACTTGGGAGACTGAGGCAAGGAGAATCGCTTGAACCTGGGAGGCGGAGGCTGCCATGAGCCAAGGTCGCGCCACTGCACTCCAGCCCGGGCGACAGTGTGAGACTCGATTTAAAAAAAAAAAAAGAAAAGAAAAAGAATTATGCTGTTACAAACAGGGCGTAGTGGCTCATGCCGGTAATCCCAGCACTTTGGGAAGCCAAGGCAGGCAGATCACTTGAGGTCAGGAGTTCGAGACCAGCCTGGCCAGCATGTAAAACCTCATCTCTACTAAAAATACAAAAATTAGCGAGGCGTGGTAGTGCATGTCTGTAATCCCAGCTACTCAGGAGGCAGACAGGAGAATTGCTTAAACCTAGGAGACGGAGGTTGCAGTGAGCCAAGATCGTGCCACTGCACTCCAGCCTGGGCGATAGAGCAAGACTCCATCTCAAAAAAAAAAAGATTATGCTGTTAGCTTTTGCAGGATTTTTAGTACAAGGGAAATTGAAATGAGAATGGAGTTTGAAATAAAATATGAACTCACCGGAATGTGGTCAGTTAATTTCATGCATGTTTCTAAAGACAGTGGTGGCACATAATTGACGACTTTGAGGGAGTCAGGTGTGGGAATGGCAGGAGTGAGAAAGTCTAGATATGAATATTAAAATGAAGTGTAGATTAATTCTAGAAACAAAAAATAGGGAAGAAACCAAAGATCTCTCATAGCAACCCAGACAACTTGAGAATCCTTTTCTAAGAAAAAAATCTAGATTCCCCCTGCTCCCATTTCGGTACATTGTAAATTCTTACACTTATATAATTAATAGTTCTCTTAAAATTTTTTTTTCAGATTGAAACAATTGGCAAAAAGGTGTCTTCAAAGAGAATTCCATATGCTCCTTCTGGTGAAATTCCAAAGTTTAGTCTTCAAGATCCACCTAACAAGAAACCTAAAGTGTAGAGATTGCCATTTTTATTTGTGATTTTTTTTTTTTTTGGTACTTCGGGATAGCAAATATCTGATATTAAATGGTAAATGAACCAAGTGTTTTTAAGGAAACAAAACTATTTTTTTAATCATCAGATTTATACTAGCTATATGGGTATTAGCATATCTGGTAATTATGAATCTAGAATTTTTTTACATATTTTTATAATACTGTTAGTTCAGTTATTGGATGAATGAAAGATAATCATGTTGGTTTTAATAGTGTCAATTTTTGTAAAATAAAAATTAAACTTCAAACACTTTATAAATTGTCCACAGGCCGCACTTTAATATCACATTATAAAGGGAAGGACAGTCTTCATTTTTCCTGGTTATTGGTTTGCTTGTCATTAAAGATGTATTTTGAATCCATGAAATTGCTATGCTAAATAGCCTTTACATGTATGGTCTGGTTAGAGTTCCTTTGTTCCTTTTGTTTTAATAAAATGTGTCACTGATTTTTTAACTCAAAAGGATCATCACTGTTAATTTCTAGTCACCCCAAATATGGTTAAAAGATTATTTTTTTTAATCATAAAGAGAAAATTAGTAGTAGTGTTTCTTTCTCTCCCCATTATTTCTTGGTTTTCCTCACTAATCTTTTTTTTTTTTTAAGTCCAAAAGCCAAAAATATTTATCTTGGTTTTACATTTTAATTTCCATTCTTAATTGTAATTTTTTTCTTTAAGGAAACCAATATAATCTCATGTATAAAAACTTAAATATTTTACAAGTTACGTATAGCATCATTCTAAAATAAGAATTTTTTTTTGTTTTCCGTCTGCTTTTTTTCTTATGTCTCTTGTTGAGTTTTATATTTTCAGTGATTATTTTTGCTTGTGTTAGATCATTATTAAAATGTATCCGATGTCCATTTGATACTTGTGCTCTGCTGAGAATGTACAGATTGCATTAAACAGCCCAGGTCTCATCCTTCAGGAATTTTGCAGTTCAATGAGAAGAGGGAGACAAATATAAAGATGAGGACAGAAGCATCTGTACAGATAAAAATTCCATAAATAAAACGTTCTCCATCAACAACTGTATGGGTGTAATTTTTGTCAATGCACAAGTAACTGAGTCATGACAGCCTGACATTGGATGGGGAAAAAAAATGACACCTCACTTTTTAGAGAAAAGGATATTATATTCTCTCAAATGATGCAACAAAGGGAGGGAATTTAGCAAATAAACATTGGCAAACTGTAGCCCATGGGTCAAATTTGGCCAGCCACGAGTGAACTAAGAATGGTTGTTATATTTTTACATGGTCACATGTTAAATGGTTTGACCAGGCATGGTGGCTCATGCATGTAATCCTAGCACTTTGGGAGGCCAAAGAGGGAGGATCACTTAAGGCCAGTTTGAGACCAGCCTGGGCAACTTATTGCCTAGGCAGTAAGACCCCATTTCTACAAACAAAGCACAAACATTTTAAATGGTTATACAAATCCCTACATAATATCCTCAACTTTACCTCTTGGCTGGCAAAGCCTAAAATATTTCCTACCTGGTCCTTTAGGAAAGTCTGCATACCTCTGAAAAAGACAAATACTAGAGTTCGAACATAAGGTGAGCCTTTACTCATAAGACTTTGAAGTGAGGATGAGTTTATTAATTAGAATTTGCTTTACATTTCTGCTTGAAAATATTCTTGTAGTTTACTTAGTAATTTTATATTCTAGTAAAGGCATTGTAAATCCAAAGATATAGGAAGATGTATGCTAAAGCAGATAGAATTAGGCACTTGTCCAAATGAGGAATTTTAAATTTTTAAATGTTTTTTTTTCTTTTTTTTTTTTTTTTTTGAGACGGAGTCTTGCTGTGTTGCCCAGGCTGGAGTGCAGTGGCCGGATCTCAGCTCACTGCAAGCTCCGCCTCCCGGGTTTTTACGCCATTCTCCAGCCTCAGCCTCCCGAGTAGCTGGGACTACAGGCGCCCGCCACCTCGCCCGGCTAGTTTTTTTTTTGTATTTTTTAGTAGAGACGGGGTTTCACCGTGTTAGCCAGGATGGTCTCGAACTCCTGACGTCGTGATCCGCCCGTCTCGGCCTCCCAAAGTGCTGGGATTACAGGCTTGAGCCACTGCGCCCGGCCAATGTTTTTTTTTTTCTATTTTTAGACATCTAATGCTATAGATTCTAACTTTTTCTACTCTTGTCTAGACATGCCAAATGCTGGCAAAAAAAAATTGCTTATTTTTTTTTTTCTTTTTTTTTTTTGTTTTTTGTTTTTTGTTTTTTTTTGAGACAGAGTCTTGTTTTATTGGCCCGGCTGGAATGCAGTGGCACGATCTTGGCTTACTGCAACCTCTGCCTCCCGGGGTTCAAGCCGCCACACCCAGCCTAAGAATTGCTATTTGGATATTGCCGAATCTGTAAAAACACAACAATAAGCAAAATCCTTTTAAACAAAGGAATCCTGAGTTCATCTCATTGGTGGAATGAAGCAATTCTGTAGCAAATAAATCCTTTGAAAGAACTACAAAAAGAAGAAAAAAGAAATAGGTACTTGTGCCAGGTGCAGTGGCTCATGCTTGTAGTCCCAACACTTTGGGAGGCTGAGGTGGGGGACACCTGAGGTTAGGAGTTTGAGACAAGCCTGGCCAACATGGTGAAACTCGTCTCTACTAAAAATAAAAAAAAAAAATTAGCCAGGCATAGTGGCACGCATCTGTAATCCCAGCTACTCATGAGGCTGAGGCAGGAGAATCGCTTGAACCTGGGAGCTGAGGTTGCAGTGAGCCAAGCTGGCGCCATTGCACTCCAGCCTGGGCAACAAAAACAAAACTCTGTATCAAAAAAAAAAGAAAAAAGAAAATAAAGAAATAGGTACATGTTTTAAATTGCAAGATGTTTCAATGCCTGGAACTGATAAGTAAACAATTATTGTAAGATATAGTTACTGGCCGGGCGTGGTGGCTCATGCATGTAATCCCAGCACTTTGGGAGGTCAAGGTGGGTGGATCGCTTGAGCTCAAGTGTTCACGACCAGCCTGGGCAACATGGCGAAACCTTGTCTCTAAAAAAAATACAAAAAATTAGCCAGGAGTGGTGATGCGTGCCGGTAGTCCAAGCTAATTGGGAGGCTGAGGTGTGAGGATCACTTGAGCCCAGGAGGTCAAGGCTGCAGTGAGTCAAGATTGTACCACTGCACTCTAGTCTGGATGACAGAGTGAGACCCTGTCTCAAAATAAAAACAAGTTACTGGTAAATGGAGGAAAATGGGCAAAAGAGGGCTCATAGAGCCAGAGAAACTTGCTGTTTGAAATGGGAGGAAAAACTCAGTAATTAGGCATGTAGCTTAATAGCAATTTGAGACCTTCATGTGAAAAGCTAAATGAAGATGGTTAGTCTTTTTTCTCTCCTCAACCAGTTAAAGACAATTTTTTTTAATGATACAAACTTTCAGTTTTTAAAAATATATATATTTAAATGTTTATACCTGATCCCTACCCCCAGGAAAAGTTTCGATTTTTTATTAGCTAATATATTTTTGGTAGGGCAGATGAATATTGGTAAGATTATTAACTGTACTTAAAACTGAAAATAACATATGGACATGATAAAAAGACATTCACATAGATACAAAAGAATATATAAACAAAATCTCTCTCCTACAATTTTCTCTCCTACAGTTCCACTTAAGACTTCTTGGCTAAGCTACCCGAAAGCCTTATTTTTCCCGTCTGTAAAACAGATAATCCATCTCTAACTCGAATTGTTACAAAGATTACATGAGATGAATGTTTACACCAAGATCTTATTGGCACAATGACTGGCAGGCAATGAGCACTCCTGTTAGCACCATAACAAGCTGGTCCCACTGCACCAGAACCACGTGTAGGCTCTGAAATCACTAAAGGGACAGTAATGAACACTGAACATTTTGGGCAGGCACTGTGCAAAGTCCTTTAGGTGCATTTTCTCATCTGTTCCTCACGTAAGTCTCTGTTTCACTTCATTTTTTACTTCCCCATGTGATTCTAGGACTGATTTAAGTCTTTTGAGGTAAGTTCCGATCCTGTGTTTCAGACTGCAGGCAGAAGGCTCAAAAGATTTAGCAGCTTGCTCAGGGTCACACCTTAATAAGTGGCAGAACCAGAATTCAGGACAGACTATGTGACTTTTCTCTCCAACTCTTAATATTAGTCATTCTGCTTCTCTGGATATATAAAGGTGCCCAGGTAAAAGTCATTCTCAAATGCAAAGAGTTAACCAGCCATCGGGCCAATACTTGTCATGCAGACTTAAGCCAATACTTTGTTATGCAGTACTTGTCACTGGTGCCTTATCTTCCTATTTCTCAAGAAAAAGCTAAAAATCTGGATTTGGTGGTTTGATTTTTTTTTGGAGATGGAATGTCTGTCACCCAGGCTGGAGTGCAGTGGTGCAATCTTGGCTCATTGCAACCTTCACCTCGCAGGTTCAAGCTATTCTCCTGCTTCAGCCTCCTGAGTAACTGAGATTACAGGCACCCACCACCATGCCTGACTAATTTTTGTAAAAAAATCTGGATTTTTATATAAAATCTCTCAATTTATAAGAGTTGGCACAATGTTTAAAAACAAATTTTTATACTATACAGACCAAAATATCTTTGAAGGGCAGATCTAGATCAAAGATCGCTGGTTTTTAAAAAAAGAAAACCCTAAATTCTGACATAATTTTAGATTTACAGAAAAGTTGAAAGAATAGTACAAAAAATTCTGTATACCCTTCACATTCTGTAAATATTAATATTATATTTGCTTTGTTTTATCCTTCTTATATACATCACACATAAAATTTATATTTATATAATTTTTTTTCCTGAACAATTTGAGATTAAGTTGCAAGGCCTGGTGCGGTGGCTCATGCCTGTAATCCCAGCACTTTGGGAGGCTAAGGTCAGGAGTTTGAGACCAGCCTGGACAACATGGTGAAACCTCATCTCTACTAAAAATACAAAAAATTAGCCGGGCATGGTGGTGCACACCTATAGTCCCAGCTACTTGGGAAACTGAGGCAGGAGAATCATTCAAACCTGGGAGGCAGAGGTTGCAGTGAGCTGAGATCATGCCACTGCACTCCAGCCTGGGTGACAGAGCAAGACTCTGTCTTTAAAAAAAAAAAAAAAAAGAGTAAGTTGGAGACATGATGCCCTTTTCTCCTAAATACTTCAGGGGTATCTCAGTTTCTGTGGGTCAGGAATTCAGGAACAGTTTAGCCAAATGGTTCTGGGTCAAAGTCTGGTTGTAATCAAAATGTCAACCAGGGCTTTAGTCATCCAAAGGCTTGACTGGGGCTGGAAGATTGTCTTCCAAGATGGCTTGCTCCTATGACTGGCAAGTTAGTGCTGGCTGTTGACAGGAGGCCTCAGTTCTTTGCCAACTGGATCTCCTCATAGCACTGCTTGAGATCCTCATGACACAGCACAGCAAGCTGGCATCTCCAAGAGTGAACAAACCAATAGAGGACAAGACAAAACCTCCAATGTCTTTTATTATCTAGCCTCAGAAATCATACCCCATCATTTCTACAAGATCCTATTGTTTAACCAGATAGCTCTATTCACTGTCTGAAGAGACATGGATACCAGGAGGTGATAATCACTGGGAGCCATCTGGGAGGTTGGCTACTGGAGTTTTATTTCCTTAAAAAATAAGGAAATAGGGCAGGTGCAGTGGCTAACACCTGTAATCCCAGCACTTAGGGAAGCCAAGGCAGGCAGATTGCTTAAGCAATCTGGCACAACCCCATCTCTACTAAAAATACAAAAATTAGCCAGGTGTGGTGGCACATGCCTGTGGTCCCAACTATTTGGGAGGCTGAGATGGGAGGATCGTTTGAGGTGGAGGTTGCAGTGAGCCAAGATCTCACCACTGTACTCCAGCCTGGGCGACAGAGTGAAACTGTGTCTAAAAAACGAAACAGGCCAGGCGCAGTGGCTCATGCCTGTAATCCCAGCACTTTGGGATGCTGAGGTGGGTGGATCACCTGAGGTCAGGAGTTCAAGACCAGCTTGGACAACATGGTGAAACCCCATCTCTACTAAAAATAC